ATCGTTTAGGTTTAACTGACATCTCTGTGCCATCAGTAATGTCTGGTGCTGGCTTGTCAATGCTGCAGTTGGCATAAGATTCAAGACGTTCATTTAGTGTTTCAATTCGTTCTTGCACTGAGAAAAAATAGAGAAAGAAATTTATGAGAGAAAAGTTAATAGTGACTTGTAGAATAAGAACAACAGATGCAATTCAAGATTATCACAAAACATTTATTATAGAAAAAAAAAAAAAAAAAAAAAAAAAGGCCATTTAACATTAAGAAAATTTGGCTTTATGCAGATGACATTGATACCTGTATGTGAGATGTTTTGATGCAATCTTTCTAGCACAGCAGCTGTTTCAGCCTAGTTACATTGTTGCACTATTTTAACAGATGTTGATGCACATTGAAAATGGTGCAGATCTAAAAAAAAACATAATACCCTCTTCAAAGATGAATACTTTTAGTGTTGATAAGCCAGGTCTGCTTAATAAAACAAAGCAGAATTAAATTTCAATCCTCGAACTTCTTTTACCAAAGTGAAACAAACAAAATATGTTCTAATGTTGTCTTTGTTCAAAATAGCCAAGAAATATGACCATAGTTAGAGAATCAAAGGAACAGAAGACTGGGTTGAAGAAACAAGAAGAGGTTTATTAAATACTCATACATAGAACAGAATAACTTTGGTATATACTACTCAAATCCTACTCTAATGAGGCTACTTGCCATTATTTATAGGTAGGAGCGATCTATTGTCACAGTAGTAGAGAAGAGCAGGAAATATGTTGAGTCCAACTCTACAACAAAATGTCTATTATTTCATTTTGGCAATAAAGAATTGTAACTATAATTTATTTAAAATATTGTTCACATTTTGAGTATTATAGAAGTCATTATTATAGAAACAGCATTTTGACAAAGTACAATGAAGACAAACAGAGGGTACTTGGCCAAAATGTTGGATTTACAATAACATCTATAATGCCCACATAAGAACAATGGTAATATTAGCTATTTCTTTACAAGGAAACATTTGGCATGCATTGACAGAGCAGGTTTCAGTTGAATTTTTAAAAATCTTTCTCTTAAAACAATTTTTCAGAAGAATATGTTTTTCAAGCCCAGTAACTTATCTCTCCAGTATTGATGGGAGTTTCCTTCCTAACCTTTTATTTGAAGTAATGTGAAATGTCAACATACTTTTATTTTTAACTGAATGTGTGGATTTTTTATCCATGTGTCTGAAGTTAGAGGAATTTCTTATTTTCCAAACATAGTCACCACATAATGGACATGTTCATAGTTAATGTTACTGAGTGTTGGCTTTTCCTTTTTTTATTATTATGACTTCCATTATATTTAATCTTTTTATATGTGGATGAGGCTATTATATTTGTATTTTCTACTGGTATGTTGCAGATGGAGTTTGGTAGGTTTCTGTGTGTTTAAATGAGTCCTAATTGAGCTATGGTCAGGTAGGTGTCACATGAGTTGTCTAAATAAACATGTAGTGGTATGATCAATATAATTATTTATAAGTTTGGTTTGATCAGGAACACTTTCATAAGGGGCATTCGAACTCATAATATTGGTTCTCTGTAATTTTGACTTTGGGTGTGTTGTTATTGCTGATGATAAGCTAAGCTTATATATATATATATATATATATATATATATATATGTATGTATGTATGTGCGTCATCTACAGACAGACTGTTTCGCTGTATCACAGCTCATCAGTGTTGCTAGACATATGATTGCTTCAAGCTGGGATCGAAACCTGACCAATTTGACATCAATTGGTAGAATCATTAAAAACATTATGTTAGTCTGATGAAGTCATTTTTTAAGAACAAAACATGTTACATGAAATTTTTTCGATTTTATCATTTCTAATATAATTTCTGGAAAATTTATGATGAAACTGGCTCCTTGCAGTCATCTGAAACACTAGCATGACCATGTCAAACAACTCTTAGTCAGAATCAGGTGATTCAAAGACTTTATAGTGGAATCTTTTGATACAGCTGCAAGCATTGCTTATTGGATAAGCAAAGAATTTGACATGAAAGTGTATTGACACACAATGTCACATCACTTATGTGAAGTAGGGTTTCATGCACGTCATGCATATCCTCCTGCCATCAGATACGACATCAGCAAAAAGTGAAACTAGACTTTGCAAATAAGCATATTGGCTGGACCAATGAAAACTAGGCAAGCAGGTTCTTGAGCAATTGCATTTAATTAGCTCTCATTGAGTCAGTCAGTGCAAAGATGAAAGATTGTTTCCAAAATAGGCGGAAAAATAAATCAGTTAAATTCAGAGGTGATAGCATGCTGGTGTGGAAGATGTTCTCATGCACAGGTGTTGGCTTCTCATTTGCATATATGTCAAAGTAAATGCTGCATTGTATAAGCAAAGACAGCCGCACACCTAGCTTGAAAATTATATTTAAGGAATTTGCTACCACCAAGAAAGATAGCACCTCACCAAGCTTGAAAAAAATTCTTCCAAGTAAGAAAATTGCTGGCAGCAGAAAAACAGCTGCAAATCAACTTTACCATTGAAACTAGGAATATATTTTCAGCTGCTCAAAAATGAAACAAAAAATATTATCATACTAATAGCTAATTATATTCTTCTTTATGTGCCATGTCCCCTCAAGACGTTGGTAATCATGGCTCTCCACAACTTCCTATCCCTTGTAGCTCTGAATAAATTTTGTCTGTGTTATTTCTCCATCCGTTTACTCAAGCTCACTAGATATGTTATACATTGTTTTCCAGTCTCTCTGCCTTCAATTTGTCCTATGGGTATCAGATTCTCCAAACTCTCCTTCCTCATTACTTGCCCAGAAACCTCAACTATCCCTTTGTTAAGTTTCCTTTTTGTTTCCATTTTCTCTAAAACTCCATTGTTGCTCACATGTTCAGTTTATGGTATCCTTAGAATCCTACTATCAAACCAAATTTCTGTTGTTTCAAGTCTCTTCATCTTTGATGAGATTGTCCAGCACTCACTGCCATACAGAAGAACAAATATCATTTAACAATTTGGTACACTTTTCCTTGTTTCTAGTGAAATTATTCTATTTCTTAATACCCTGCTTAGCTTTTGGAATACATCTTTGGCTATCCCAATATGCCTTCGAATCTCAGTGTCACACTTTCTGCCCTATATTAAAACTCTTCCTAGATATTTAAATTTCCACACTTGTTTGATTCTGGTATCTCCAATTTGCAATTCAAACTTTGGGCTAATCCCTTTCACCAAGCATAAATATTAATTTCTCAACATTATGGGTAACAAGTTCTAAATGAAAAAAGAAAAAATAGAAATAGCTGAATATATGTGCATGTTTGCATGTTTTTTTAATCATTTCACCCCAAGCAAGGCAATAAATCCACCAAGATGCAAAGGATTACTGAGCATGAAAGAATATAAGAAAAATCATTATTAAGGAGAGAGAACAATAAAAGAACAAGAATTATAGACACAAAAGATAATGATTGACATTGCATTTTAATTTTTGAAGATCAAAGTTGATTGGAAATCAAGAAACCAGAAGAGAGTCTCACAAGCAAGAAGTGCAGGAGAAGAACTTTTTAGTATAGAACTTACAGTTACAACTAGACATTTCAACTGTAAAATTATGAGACCTAGCTACCAATCTAGTACTCTGCTTAAATTTATAAAGTTTAGGTACTAAAGAGCTCATCAGAACACTTACCAAGAAAATATTTATAGAAAAGCCTGAGGAAAGCTACATTAGAGCAGTAGGAAAGTGACCTAAGCCAAGATAATATTGCATTGGATTTTGTCAAGAATTCTGAGATTCATATCAGAAAGCGTCAGACTAGATGTGGCAGCAATATTCAATAGATAGATGAATGGTAGACTTATAAATGTGTAAGATAGATTCTGACAAGAAATATATATGGAGAGAGATTATATTTCTGTATATGTAAATACATAATTATTCCATAGTCAAATGATAAAAAACACATCTGTTTTACCATACAATCTCCTTTGATAAGGCACTTAATTGAAAATTTCAAAATCAAAATTCAGCTCATAGTATTCTGTACCTATTGATTCCCCCATGTGTGTGTTTCTTGATCTTTTGCCAAATGGAAGAATATCATTTCATTTATATATCCTAATATTCCCAGTATATAACTGTCTAACTGAGGGTAACAACAAATAAAATTAGAAATACAGGCTCCTTTATAAGCCATTAATTTCCAATAACTCATTTATGGTCTCCTAAAACTATCTTAACATTTGTCTAAAAATGCATTTCCAACTGACATTACATTTGCAATTACAAATTTATCATCAACTGTTTTCTGAGATTAACTATTTTTATTATTCTATATATTTCAATATATATGAAGGGGTGCTGGAAGGTTCTCAGCCTGACCGATTTCCAACAGATTTCTTTTTGGAAAGATTTTCAGAAGGTATATATATATATATATATATATATATATATATATATATATATATATATACACACACATGTAAATATTATCTTAAAAAGATATAACAACTTTACCAAGCAACTGCAGTTTCTTTTGACTTTTTAATATTTATAAATATTTCTCTACAGACTAGGTATTGACCACTTTCTAAAATTTACTGGAATTGGTTAATTTCAAGATGGACTTTATTCCATAATTGATTTATACAAGAAGAATTAATTATATATATATTGTTGTAACCTAGGGAAGGTTACTGAATAGAATAATCGCACAAAGGTTGGTAATGAATGATAATACTTTGGACAAGAACAACACATATAAGATTTGCCAGTAGCGTGTAGAAGTAGTAATCAACTGCTAGAAGTGAGCCAAGTGAATTCCACAATGAATCTCCAACTGCAGGATATCTTGCAACCGCCCCATGTGGTCAGATGTGGCACAAGGCCAAATTTAATGTGGGGCATCCAAAAATTCCCTATAGACCCTGTATAAAATAGGGTCAGGTAACTTTTTCCCAAAACAAGACACTGCCCTTCGTCATAGCTTC